TACAATAATTTGTCCACGACAAAGACGTGGCGATAGAAAGAAAGAAAGAAATGAACGGACTGAGATAGATAGATAGATAGATAGATAGATAGATAGATAGATAGAAATCAACAGACTGAGATAGATAGATAGATAGATAGATAGATAGATAGATAGATAGATAGTGTTATGGTCCGGTTCCTTGTACCACGGTGATAGTTCAAAGTAGAACCAATAAAGAAGAACTCGATCACAGGTATGGAATAACACAGATATATTACAAACAGGAACATATACAGAGAAGTAGAAAGTGTTAGTAGGAACAATCAGGTTTAGCAGGGAGAACAATGTAGTCTCGACCAGTATCACTATTCCAATGTATTGCAGTAATTGTCTGAACGCGACTCTGTTTCGGACTGCCTCTGACTCGACTGACTGACTCGCTCGCTCTGACTGTCTGACTGATATACTCCTGACGGACTTCAATCCAGACTTCAGACTGAACGGTATCTAATCACCACCCAACGAGGGCATCATGTGGCACATGGCAGGTTTAACGTGGGATCTACGAGCCTGTGGGCTCGGACAAAAATATGCCCATTGAACCCGTATAAACGTGTTCAGGGTCGGTTTACCTCCCCGAAAGAAACTCCGCCCTTCGGCGTAGCCTCGTTCGGGTTCCTCCCCGCCCGGAAGGCAGCCGATCAGCCGGCCATCCTACTTCAGACTGAACTCTCTGCTTCCTCTTGAGGCGCAGTATTTATTACCTATGGAATAGTCCATTATGATATTATGGGTAAGGTCCCGTAACAGATAGATAGATAGACAAAAATGAACAGACTGAGATAGATAGATAGATAGATAGAAATGAACAAAGATAGATAGATAGATTGTGGGCATACTAATCAAGCCTGTATAATCACAGTTTCAATACCTTATAGTTATCCTTTGACTGACCTGAACATTGTATTGCCATGTGAAAGTGACAGTCATCAAACAGCGTTGATTCTTACGACTCTGCAAATCTATAAATTCACCATCTTCGATAATGAGCACTAAACTTCTCTCAGTATAGCAAATGCACAGACATACACACACACACTACATCTATCTATCTATATATATATATATATATATATATATATATATATATATATATATATTTTTTAATGTCGTATCTTTGTAATTTTGTAAAACCAAGAAATGCACTCACCTGTGTTAATTGGCCTGTGTGGCAACCCTTATTGAGTCGCATATTTTTTTTCAGTATTTCTTGGCTTATTTTACCCACGTCAGTTTTAGCTGGATTTGTTGGTCGATTATCCATTTTATACATCTATAGCTGAAAATGATCTGCTGTAGGCTCTGTACTTCGCCAAAGGCTTCGTAAACATAACACTTGATCAAACGGAAATAAATTTACATTGCCGCAAATCAATTTTATTCGACAATGAAGTAACCTGGTTCAAGAAATAAAAGTCATAGGTGAAATTCTTTTCTCGATGGACCTCAAGGTTCGTTTAATGCCGCTGAGTTTTCGGAGTTCATAGGCCTACACATTTTATCTGAAATTAACAAAATTGTACATATAAAAAAACATGGCCTGTATAGCGATGACGGTCTGATGATAGCGCCAGACAACAGAACAAATAAGAATATAATAAAAACGTTTTTTCAAACGCTTCAAAAACGTCGAAGTCGAAATGAATAAAAAATTGCCAACTATCTGGACGTCGAATTAAATCTACAAGCTGGCAGAGTCTCCCAATACAGGAAACCCAACACAAAATTAAAATAATTGAATATTAGACCTAACCCCTCTGCGAATATTATAAAACACATCCCTAAAGGTATAGAGTCTAGGTTATTCAGAAACTCTTCTAGTAAAAAAGTTTTTGAGGATAAAAGAAATATGAAAAGGAATTAAGGTCAGAGGGTCAGTGTTGTGGTAGGATCCACCTAATTTGCATAGTGGAGTACCGACCATATAAATATGGTTGGTACTGGGAAGACGGGAGAGGAATCAAGAGATTCAATCCAGAGACTCTGCCCGACTGCGACTAAGTCAACACATTCTCCAGGAACGGTCTTCCCAGGAATATACAAAAGACTATATGTAAATACTGTGTACACTTCCTTGTTTCAATACATTTTGTTCTAAGTACATTTTGTGTTGCATTATTATTCCATGCATTAGTCAAGTTTCAACAGTCACAAAACTAAACACGAATTTAAACCTCAAATTAAACAACATATGCAGAACAATTCAAGGAAAAGGAAAAATATCATTTGGTTTAGCCTCACTTTTAACTATTCTTTTTTTTATTCATTTGTTGAAAATACAATAAATTAAACATATGTATGTGTACGAATATTTGTTTTTTTTTTTCCCACGGTGTATAGCTCTGAATAGTAGTTAGTCGAGAAGAAGGAAAACTCGTAAATTCAAAACCGTAGAAAGGTCAAAGGGTAACTACTCCACTATATTCAAAGAAAAGGAAAAATATCATTTGGTTTATTCTCACTTTTAACTTTTTTTTTAAAGCATTTCACCCCAAACAAGGCTGGAAGCCACTAGCAAGCAAGGGGTTACAGTGGATTTGGAGTGAGAGCAGATAGTGATAGAGGAAAGGATAAGGAGAAGCATAGTGGATAGATCAAGGCCACTGGAAATGTCGATTGACATTACATTTGAATAGTTTGAGATTATAGCTCCCAGGGAAACTGGAATAGGGAAGGGAGTTCCACAGGCGAGAGGTGCGAGATATGAAGCTATTGGAGTAGCTTTGAGGTAAAATATAAAATAGGAAGTTACTTTTGAAATTACTTGCTAAAAACTAAACATTTAAAAAATTCAGAATTACATAAGAAGTACCCAAGATTCAGAATTACATAATTTAACAAAAACAAGGTTAAATTAAGCTACAGCATCACTAGAAATTTAGAAGCAATAATAAACTGAGCCAGATATTTAAAAACTAACGTGCAGCAAAATATAGTTAACACAGGCAATAAGAATAGATGTCCATTAGATGCAGCTTGCTAAAAGCGAAGCAATAACCTATAAAGCAAAAGTAACAAATATTAATGGCCAAAATTAAACGTACATAGGATGTACTGAAGACGAAGATGTTACAATCATAGGTCGTCATTCAAGCTAGTAAGTCTTAGGAGCTTTACCTAAGTAGCTAACCATGTGAGGAATTTAAAAGAAGAGACAGTAGGGATATCAATGTAACCTGGAAAAAGTTTAAAAAGGCGATGCCTTACAACAAATACAATCTAATTTTCAACCACTGCAAATAGGAAAAATCTATAATAATGACTTTTCCGGATCTCCAAAAAACTTTTCGACCAGAGACCCGAAGTTATGAACCGTTGCATGTTAATAAAAATCCTCTTTGGCGCATATGAGGATGCTTAAAAAAAGACCCACAGTTACATTTATAATACCCTTTGTTTTAAAATATATATATATATATATATATATATATATATATATATATATATATATATATATATATATATATAGACAAAAGAAAAACGTATCTTAACTGACGCGATTCGTCCTCGGATATCATCATAGAACGAAACGTTTGTCTTTATTCATATTGTCTATTGATATGTATACTTTTGTTTATATCATAAATTTTACACACTTTTATATATATTTCCAAGTATATGATTGGTGTATATGGAATGAATTCCAATAATCAATTATATATATATATATATATATATATATATATATATATATATATATATATATATAGTTTATGAAAAACTAGGTAATCCGTATAGGTAAATCTAAGGAGGCTAAAATCCAGAGAGCTCAATGTAAATCCAGAGCAAATAATTTAAAAAAAAAAAACAGACCACTTTAAGGTTCCATGTAATAAATTATTTCACCAAAGCCATTTTAAAAGGACTGCGGATCATCAGACTTTATTTCCAAACAAAAAATGAAAAGGAAATTTACACATTTTTGACGGGCCGTGTGAATGTGTCAATATCTGCTAACTCACTCATGTCTTTTTTTCTCCCCCCTCATTTCCTCACTTCGTTAATTTACATATGTTTAATACGGCACGTCAAAAATGCGTATATATATATATATATATATATATATATATATATATATATATATATATATATATATATATATATATATATATATATATATATATATATTATTGGGAGGTACGGTGGAGTAATGGATAGCGGCTTGGATTCCAGTCGAATACATTACATTCACTTACGTGCTAATACCCTTGGGAGAGGTATGAATCCTCTTCCCCTCCCTCCAGCTATGGGTAAAATAGCAGGACAGACTGGGTTCTATAGCCTTGGATGGCAAGTGGCCTAGGAGAAGGACAACTCTGAATTCAAAACTGTTCGTTCGTAGTGCAGAAATCTGTGTTCGGGCCTTCAAAAAGTGTGGATGGTTCTGCACAAAACCTTCACCACTATAATCAAATCTCATGTGCTGGCGTCGGACCGCCAGTTTCCTAGGAACAGATTTGCTTGACCCTCATACGTCGAATTCGACGGGAGAGTCGAGATATATATATATATATATATATATATATATATATAACATTTCTGACAAGAAAAAAACGCGTTTTTTATTTAAAAAACGTTGTATAAAATAATTACATTTGTTATTTGATCATTTATTCAGAGTTTCTTTCATATTTTACCACATTGAACTTTTTATTTCCAGTTGAACTATATTGAATGAAATAGCAACCTACTGTGGGAAAAAAAATCTGCCTCGTCAGTCATGTATCAAAAGATACATGGTCGCCTAAGTGTATCTCATGCACGGCACATAACTGACTGTCTTAATAAAAAGATTTCCAATTCCCTGGAAGATTGTAAAAGGCATCTAAAGCATTCTATGCTGAGAAAGATAAAAACTAGTGAGAGAATGGAATATTATGTATGTGCATGTGTGACAAATATGATATGTATGTATGTGTGTGTGTGTGTGTCTACCATTTGTCCTTGCTAGATATTTAGAGATTTTTGCAACTGATCTAGGAGAAGGACAACTCTGAATTCAAAATCTGCAGAGGGTCGTTTGGGGACCTTGTGACACGTAGTGCACCAGGTCTCTGTATTCGGCCCTTCAAAATGTGTGGATATCTCTGCACACAACCTTCACCACTATAATCAAATCTCATGTGCTGGCGTCGGGCTGTCAGTTTCCTAGCGAGGAACTGATCTGCTTTACCCGCATATATCGAATTCGACGTATATATATATATATATATATATATATATATATATAAAACATTTCTGACAAGAAATAAACGAGTTTTTTTTTTATATAAAAAAACGTTGTATAAAATAATTACATTTATAATTTGATCATTTATTAAGAACTTCTTTCATTTTTTACCACGTTGAACTTTTTTATTTCCAGTTGAACTATATTGAATAAATCATTCTCAAATGTGATTTTATTATTTCGAAAAAAAAAATGCTCCACGAAACATGTACCTTATTTTTTCAGAAACGTTTAGTCTACACGATTTGAACGTAAGATGATTAAATCTACGCATTTCCTTTTCCTATTCAGTACCATAGAGACTATAATAGATTACGAAATTCGTCTTGCCTTTATTTTACTACGAATGAAATTTTAATTTCCGTAAAATCTGTTTGCCTATAAACTAATAAAATGTCTTCTTTTAGAATCCTTTCTTAGAAATTTATTCTATACTCTTCCAGACATGATTAAAAGATTATTCCTATTTCAGACTAATGAAGTCACCTCAATTCTCAAAGCTGCAACACGATGGCACGTTGGATAATTTGTTTCAAATTTTATACAGTACCCTGCAAAGATCTTCAAACTATTCCCAATCTTTTAATAAATCCCAGATTAACAGATTTTTCTACAGATGAAATATTGACCAATTGGAATCATTTCCGTCTCGAATTACCATTTTTTTAGCAGGGGTTCTGTATGAGTCAATACCTCCCGCAAACAAAATGTCTGCCATTAAGATGCTCGATGTTTCATAAGCTACATAGAAGCTTTCTGTCAGGCTGAGTTGAAAATAGATGACTACAAATAAGAAAAATGTTTTTCACTATGACTGATATATATATATAGACATTTTTATATTTATACATTCTTTTTATAGATACAAATATTTAAGTAAATGCTCTGTTTATAATAAACAGTATTAATAACATTTACCGGCCTGTATGTCCGAGACAGTTTCATATAAATTATTCGTCCTCCGACAGGAATCGAACCTGTATCCTATAGGGAACCGTCATATAGCCTGACGTGCCTTAACCGATTGGGCCACAGAGGATCGTTCGGTTATCAAGGTCGATTTTACTGCGTTTATACTACAATCTTCCATGATTCTCTCTCATACATTCATATCTGCTCAATGCTTCTCCAAATGTAAAAAATGACGTCATACTTTATGAAATGGACGGGCTCGGAGATTCCACGGGATCGGAGATCCCACGTTAAACCGGCCTTGTGCCACATGATGCACTCTTGGGGGTGATGACTAAATATCGTTGGTCAGTCAGTCGATGTCGGACGATCGATAGTCGGATACTAAAGTATCAGCGACCACCACTAGATTTCTCTGCGTCATTACCTATTATATCAAGTTCCTAACGTTTTGTACGTCGAACTTATTTTAGGACCGACTTAGTACAAATACAAGCCTCCACTGTGAAACCACTCTACAACATAAATGAAGACGTTAAAAGCAAGCATCAGATTTTATAAATGACTGGTTGGTTAAAGTGTACAGTGACAGGTAAATTTTTGTTTTCTTTGTTTTTTTTATTATTATTGAATTGAAGACGTACTTGATTCTCCAACATAATTTTCCTTTTTAGCGTTTGTGGCAGAAAAGTAAATGTCACAGGTCAAATTCGGTCGCTGTACACTGTGTTAATGTCGGGGAATGTGAACATGCTATCGGGTATAACATGTTTGCAAACTTGAAACGTGATGGTCCCCTGGTGAGGTGGTGATTTATATATCCCAGATTATGTTAATAGTGTGTGTAGGGCAAGGGTTGACGCCATGCGTTGAGTGTGTTCTCGTTGAATATATTTTTAAATGCATGCTTGAGTTTTAAGATATGGGAAATTTTGTGAATATTGTAATTAAAATCAAGAACCATGGGAATTCTGGAATTATTCTATTTTCATAGTTTCCGAGAGTATTTCTAATTTATTTGGCGATTTTACTTAGTTGTCCAATGTGTTTTTTGTAATAATCATTTTGCGAACAGATACGTTTTAAACGTAAACAATGGCCGTAGCTTATTGATTTCTTTAGGTTGCTAGGGTGGCAGCTATTGGAATTTAATTAGCAACAATCATGTTTCGTGTACAGTGATGTTGAGATGTAGTCGTTTTTTTATACGTAGCACTACAGCCGGAAACGTATGTTCGCATTGCTAGGAGCCATTTTCAATCCCATCGCTTTGCATCTAACTTAAAGAAAATGGCGGCCGTTAATTCGACCTTGTT